ATGATCCATAAATTCAGCCAGGTTTAGAATCGTTTGGATGACATCAGGATGATTACTCGTCTCCAGCGCCTATAGAAACGAAGTATGAACAAGAAGAAGCGAGTGCCAAACCACAACCACTTTCTCATCATTGTCCAAATTCCTTTGCGGAACAATCCAAACAAACAAAATTATCGACTGACTCAGAAGCAGTAACTTACAGTTAATAAGGAACCAGTAAGCCTATCCTGTAGCTCTTCGGTTAATTCTGTCCATACAGACATGAAGGCAGCATTGAAGAGATCCCTAGACCATGCTTTCAATAACGTTTTCATAGAAAGAGCATATATTGCTGCCAGAACTAAGCGCGCTCTCTAATTCAAGCGAATTCTCAAAGAGCTCACTTGGCCAGGTGTTGATGCTGATCACTCAACGATGCAGCTGCACGAATTGCTGCAGAACTTCCTGACTGAAAATTTCAAAGCCTTAACTGTAGTAAGTTCCTGGAAAAATACAGTACCCGGAGAAGAGTGGAAACTCCGACATGGATCTCGGATTAAAACTATGGCGTTAAATCCCTGCTCAATATAAGCTACTGTCAAGTTTAGCGACCAGCTGGACTTTACGAAGACGCGAAAATGGCCGAAGAGAAATCAAATGCCAAGCTCAGTTAAAATTACCTTGATGAAAGCTACACGGAGCTTGACCAGCCATTGGGCCCATTCCTCCTTTGATACCAGCGAATCCACAGCCCATGCTCGCACAACTGCCTGAAGAGTTAGAACATGGATGAGATATGACTATATTCTGACAACAATGAAAAGGAGGGAAACAAAAGATCCAAATATCGTTGTTTTCTGCATCGTTATTTAATGTGCAAATACCATATGCGTCAGCGGGATTTAATCTAAAAAAGCTCAAACGTTCGAAAAAGTCCGAAAACCTTTCAAAATACTTCCTTGCAGTATTACGGTGCTCATTTTTCGGCTGGAATTTTTGGAGGGGAAAGGCTTGACGAAACAAGCTTTCTAGCTCGAAGAGCCCGACTAACGAAATATTGACAGAAATACTGCAGGCGAATCTTTCGAGGAAGTCCCTGGGTCTATTGGATCTTTGAGCTCTTTGGAAATCAAACTTTCGAAGATCTAAACCACTGCATGTTATTCAGATCTACATGAGGCTCCAGGACAGCACATACTTTTCAGTAACTTACATCAATGTTGAGCCTTTGCTTGTTGACCGTCCAACTGAGAATCTGATCCATGTTCTTCGCTGCAGACGGTGTGATAGTATGCGGGACATTGATCTTCTCCGGTGGAACAGCTCCCGTGCCACGACGTTTACCTGGCCGTTTCAGCCGGGTGCAACATCGCCTGTTGTGCAGTTTCTGAAAAAGAAAACTTAAACTTCCTTCCACCGTAACATTTCTACTTATTTAGCACAGCGCCCGGAAAAAACCTTTTTTGACGACCCAAACGACAAGGAAACC